AGACATCCATCGAGACATCCATCAAGACATCCATCGAGACATCCATCAAGACATCCATCGAGACATCCATCAAGACATCCATCGAGACATCCATCAAGACATCCATCAAAACTTATCGTGCTGTTCCTTTTCTGCCCTCTTCATTTTCGTTCTTGAATGAATAAAAGAGAGGAGAAAGAAAGTACAACTACGAGCACATCAGAGAAGACCGATCAAGAAGACCGGTGTACGCTTGAAGTTCATACTCAACAGGCCGGCATCGCGGACGGCATACCGATCATGCCCTGACTTCCCATTGGCCAACTTGTCTTATTGTTCATATCTGGTCCAGCATCCTCGTAACAATTCATCTGAGACAATGCTCTAGTGATGATCGATAACAGCGGGTTTCCAGCAAAGTGACCCGACTGCGGTCCGTCCTCTGCCGTCGTCGTGGTATGCTTCGAACTGTCAGGGCAACCTGTCGCAGCGATCGACCGCGGGCTGGGATGAGTCTCGTCTGATGGAGTCCGCGCTTGCATCTCAATGTCACTCTTTGACTGGGCGGAGGGCAGGTGGCTGTCGCTGGCTGTCGCAATCGTGGACTGTGTAAGTTTTGCGGCATCATTACCAGCATCAGCAATAGCGTCGGTATCGCGTTTCGCCAGTCCACCGTCGCCCAGCCCTCCCTCGGCTTCGATGGGAGCCTGAGGGACGACATGTGGGTCGGCTGAGGGAAGATGGATCATATCGATGGGCAGGTGACCGTTGTCAAGTTGATCCATCATGTCCATGCCCAAGTCCACGTTCATGTCCATGCCTATGTTGTCTAGATCAAATTCCAGCATGTCACCCCAGTGATGTGCGCCAGGGAAATCTGTCACTTGGCCAAAGTCCATCATAGCCGACTGCATCCAGTCATCTTCTGCCATCGTCGTCGTCAGATCGACAGATCCTGGCTCATCGCCGTGACTACGCTGGACTGCATCATCCGACTGGCCATTCATAGCCATGGAAGCAAAGGGTGCGGTCGGCTCATACCACGGCTCGCCTTCCGCATCCTCGTCTGCCATAGAAGTGTATGGCATCACGATGTGCTGATCATCTGGTACATCATCATGAAGATGACTCGAGGCAGCATTGTTCAGTTCCGCCGGCTCGCTTCGATCGGGAACCTCACGACGACGGCCACCGCCTCCGTAACCGTGGTTATGGTCATCATCTTCGCCGTTGCCGTTGCCGCTGTCGTTGCCGTCGATATGACCATCGGTACTGTCAACACCGCGAACACCATGATCCGCGCAAGCGTCGAGGGGTGCTTCCCTTCGGATTCTTGTCGCGGCCTCTCCGGGGCCAGCATTGTCACGACCCCGGCGTCGGGTCACCCTCGGCGCTGGACTGGCTGGAACGTCCCAGATATTCTCGCCATCGTCTTCGGCTTCGGATTCGCCGTCGCCGGCGACGATGATTTGCGGCTGGGTCGGTGAGGCGCTAGGCCCTGATGTGCCATCGCCCTGACGACCTCTGCTGCGAAGACTGAGCACACGGGGTGATGGCTTCAGCGCTGGTTTGGTGACTCGGCATGGCTTCGTATTGGCCGCCTTCTTCCGTTGTCTCGCTGGCCGCAGAACAAGCTCGCCATTAGACACAACCTGCCTCCGCCAAATATCGTGAATCTGCAACCACCATCTCGGTCAGTGACTTGCCCAATCGGCTTCTTCAGCCTTCCGTGCTTCTGCGCTTCTGAACCTACCACGTCGTTCGTGTTTTCCGGCAGCGATTCCCCGTCCGGGGTGTACACTGAGCCGTCCCAGAATCCATGGATCTTGTTGTAGAACAGTAGCACGGCGATCGTACCGCAGTCTTTGCCAAACTGGTAGTTCTTCTTGATCGCCGTCATGCCTCTCTTGCGCATGGTCTGGCTCACCCATGCTCGATCTTCTGGGTGGGGGGACCTGGAACGAGTCTTCCGAGGCGCCATGTCTGCCTCTTCAGCCGGAATGGAAGCAGAGACGAAACAGTATAGTCTTGGTCTCGATGCTGTTCCAAGATATGGAAGCTGTGTATGTATCGAATGTAGACCATCTTTCGAACGAAACGGCGGAATTAAGTGGATGAATCGTCCTGTCCCGAACCGGACTCGCGACTCTCTTGCAGCACAGAACGACCCATTTCGCCCGCTATGCTTTCTTGCCAGGCCAATGTCTTGATTCGAGTTCATTTTCGGCCTTCTTTCGTTGTCGAGCCATTGCCGAACTTTCCAGGCTTGCCTTGCCAAGGACTGTTGGTCGGTCGTCGTGCAGCGGAACGGGTCATGTCGGTGTTACTCCATGGTCGTTGCAAAAAGTCCTCAGGCAATCCAGGTTTAATTTCCACCTCTCCATCACGGTGCCAGACTGTCGGGACGAAATCGACGTTGAGATAGGTCAACACGGTTGGAGCGAGAGGATGGACGAGGAATATGAGACGCAAATCCGTGGTAGAGGTGGATCAAGTGTCTGCTAGAGCCAACATCTTTTTCAAACCCTGACTGTGGGTTCGATTGTGCGGTGCCGCTGTCAATTTTGTTCTTCGACATCCTATTTCGGCCTTCCGTTCTTCCGTATTTCTGCTTGCCCCTCCCCTGGTGCAGACCGCAACGGTCAAAACGGACTTTTAATCGCCGATCAAGTGGCCCAGGGCTTACGCCTGTGACGGCCCATTTCTGCCATTGTAAAATACCAGCTCGTAGTAGTTATGTTATGTTATGTCATGTTATGTACATTTTCCGTCTGATCGAAACAAAGCTCGTAGTAGTGGTAGGACAGTATTGAGCACTTGTACCTTCCTCTCATACAATAACCTTGTAAATAAAAGATGGCCCCAAATGTCGATTAATTGTACATATCAACACTGCGTACACATTTATCAGGTCGTGGTAGCGTACGTATCAAGGTATCTATGTGACTAATGTGAGGTAAGAGTACTCTCAATTCGCATGGCTAATATGTCTCCACTTCTCCGGATTTGCGCCCGGACCCCTAGGCAGCGGCGGTACTTCTGGATACCTCGCTCGATCAGCCAGATATTGGTTATGAGCCCATAAGACGGCCTAATCCTGACAAAACATCTGCTTATAAAGTACAGCCATGTATCCAAAGGTCCCCACCCTAGAATTTAACAAAGAGCATGTTATTTTGGAGCGGAAGGTGCAAGTAGTAGTATAGGGTAGCCTGTAGTTTTGTTCATGCCACTTGGTGAAGTGGCGATACTCGATTGCATGTTCGTTCTACAATTGAATGTCGCTGCCAGCAACAATGACCGTCTTAGCAACCATATGATCAGTAGAGACTCCATCTCGTCTCGTTCTATTTCGACCTTTTCCCTCATTCTTACTGAATGACTGTTTTAAGATATCATCCTGTTCCGTTGCTGATGTAGGTAAGGTCCGGACCCACTGTTCCTTATTTTATAAAAAATAAAAAACTGCCGGAGAAGCCGAAGCAGATGCGGCAGATCCAGTGGACATTATCGATTGGAGAGAAAGAATCATGGCGCCGACAGCAGTTTATGGCGCAGCGTGGCTCCGTATTTTCTTCTGGCTCTCGATTTAGTGTCGAAGGAAGGCTCCGACTCTCGCACCGTTGAAGGAAATTTTGCTCCGTACTCCGTACTCTCAGAACAGAAAATCCTTCCGCGTAAAACAATCAATCCGCGGAAATAATTACGAATGCCTCGGCTCTCGTGGGTGAAATAAAACAGCGAAAGGAAATAGGCAGGAGATAAGCGTATTTTGGTGTAAACGATTGCGCAGTATTTCCCTCCCCACTCCCCCCTCTATCCACTTTCATGGTTTATTAATGGATGATGTGATTCACATGAATCATGAATGACCTGCATATGGCCCCGCATTGCGGGATATCATGTGAACTGCAGAAAAGCTAAAATTTGACACTGACTAGCGACCAAGGTCGAACGAAGTGAGGCGCTGAAGAAGTGATGCCGGACCACGGCAGATCGTCCAAGTTAGACTGAAGCTAGGCAAATTACCCGGACATGCGCACTAGCACAGGGGTATCATGGCAGTGAGAATCTGTCGTTCGCGAGTGGAACAATTGATCTACGGAGTTGATGATGTACTCTGCCGGAGAAGGCCAGGAAAACTTGTGTTCGATGTGATATGAAATAACCATATAAGGATTGTAAAATAACAGCAACAGTGACAAGTCGCTGTAGGTTATTTGCTATCAGACAACCAAGCCTCATTCGGCGGTGATTGGATGATGGTGTCATGCTGGTGCTGGAACAACGTGGGATGACGTGCCTAAAGCGCGCGCGCCTTGTGCGACAGCTGCCGAGCCAAATTTGGATTTAGAAGCCGCACTTGGCTTCAACGGCCCATTTCGATCGCAACGCTTTCCTGCCACGCCCAATGACTTGAACTGAGTTCATTTTCGTCCTTCTTTCGTCGCACCGTTACCCGACTGTCGAGACTTGCCAAGAACGGTTAGTCGGGGCGTTGTGCAGCGACACGGTCATGTCGGTGTTCTAGTGGCCGGGTAGTCGGGCCTTGAGCTCTTGGCGGCACATTTCTGCCAATGTAGGATGCTAGCTAGTGTAGGGTAGCCTGTAGTTTCGTGCTGTCCAATGGTCAAGTCCGATGCGCCACTGGATGTTCTACAGTTCAATGTACAGTATAGTGCATAGGCATTTTCCTCCTTGCGACAACATTCTCTTTATTTCTAAAATAGTTGAGTCCTGGAGGTACATATATCTACCTTTTAGACAGACATATCGTCCACTTTAGGTGGCAGAATTGGCCTATAAGCCTACTCTAAGCCGCACAGGAGATGTACCTGGAAAGTGTATGCGAGTATAGGCACTAGTCCCAATGTAGTTGCCTCCATGACGGTGCGAGTCAGCCTTACAGTGACCTTCTACAAGCCGTAAAGCCAAGCATAACGATTGGTTATTGTGCGTTAGCCAAGAATTACGCCGTATACCGTCTGGATTCCTACCATACACAATGCGCGGGGCTTACTGCAGTTTGCAAGTCCGTTGTGAGGTAGGAAAATCGCATACTCAAAACTGTAGTTGTCAGCAGCAATGACTGTCTTTGAGAACTGTGTGTGCGGTAGAGATTCCATTACACCACGTTCTATTTCGACTTTTCCGTCTTTCTTGCTGGGTGACCCATTTTAGGATGTCGCTCGGCTCCGCTGCGATGCAGGTAAAGTCCCGACCTGAGTAGCGAAAACGGCTTCTTGATCCACTTTACTTTTGGAGCTGTCACTGATCAGAGGAGCGGAAAATTGACGCGGCGGAAGCGGACGTTGTCGCTCGGAGACTAAGCACCATTGCACTGATGATCTAGGGCGTTTATGGCACAGCGCAGCGCCCTATTTTCAGGTGGCGTTTGATTTAGTGTCGACGCGAAGGCCCTGACTCACGCACCGTTGAAGGAAGCTTTACTCTTAGAGCAGAAGAAACTCTTGCGGGGACCTCGTTTCATTGGGTCCTGTAAAATAACTTGCGAAATGACTCTGCATGCCAAAGTGATTCCGGTTCCCCTGTTCCCCGGTCTCCGGCTTTCCCTCCCCTCTTTTTGTTTCTTTCTTTCTCTATTTTTTTATTGTTTTTTATTATGTATATTGTCGCTCCCCTTCATTAGTTTCGTAATATCCCTGTCTGCGTCTGTGCTTTCTTGCTTGTCTATCTATCCACCTTCATGCTTTCATGGCTCGATGATGTGCTTCACGTGAATCGTAAATGAACTGCATGTCACCCCCACATTGCGGGGTATCGTGTGAACCACAGAGAAGCTAAAATTTGACACTGACTAGCGACCGAGGTCGAACGAAGCGAGGCGCTGAAGAACTGGTGCCGGACCACGTAGATCGTCTAGGTTAGACTGAAGCTAGGCAAGTTATCCGGAATGACAGCACGCGCACTAGCACAGGGGTATCATGGCTGTCAGAATCTGTGTCAACAAGCAAAATCAAGCGGCCCCGATGCCGAACTAAGAATGGCCCGGGCGAGGAGATCACGAAACCGTTGCTGGCTCTATACGGGCTTGTCAGCTGTCGCTCGCTGGTGGAACACTTGATTTGCGGAGTTAATGATGAACTCCACCGGAGAAGGGCAGGAAGGCTCGTATTCGCCGTGATAGGAGATCACCACAAGAACTGTAAAACAACGACAAGAGTTACCAGCCATCGACTTGACAATACACCAAATACTATCTCGCGTTAACTGTGTGATAGAATGATACGGTCTCAAAGAACCTCGAATTCTGATACCTTCTAGAAAATCAAATAACTTGGGGTAGGAGAGGGTGTCAAGACGTTGTCGTAGATTACCGAACATCGCGTGCCTCCTCGTCTCTACGTGGCGTTGGGTTTTCTCTTCCCTTACCTTGAGCTTTATTTTAATCTTCGTAACCTCTCGATTCATGGTGTCAACGCTGGACAAGGTATCACACGTTTATTCTGGTGTCAGAATGGCCTGTAAGCCGCCGTAGGTTATTTGCTATCAAACAGTCTCTCCAGTTGATACCTCTGGGGGTTACCAACTCCCATCCTCTCCAATTGCTTGGCCCTAGAAACTCGAAGTATTTCGGCCGTGCGGCTGTTGGTCCTCGGGATTGGAAATGAGCGCCAATACGAATGATGAAGCGGGGGCATAGTATCGCACTGAGCGTGCTTGAAGGGTTAAAGTGAAAGTGATGAGCAGCAGCAAACAAATGTATTGATTGATTGTTGCCAAGCTTTCTCTCGTTCGGCGTATTCCATTCCGCAGAGTTACGTAAAGCATATAGCTAGATTACTAACGCAGTTGTTTTCTGAGGCCGTAGATCATGCCTTATCCTGCGACACATATCAATCGGCATTGTAGTGCGCCCTCCTACACCAGCGTGAAAGAATCCGGAAGGTTTTTTTATTCTTTTTTATTTATCCACTCATATTTACTTATAACTACTCATACCTATTTATATTTTGTTATTGTTATTCTTACCTAGCTTCTCGGTCCTGGGCCATTGTGAGCCGTTTGTTGAGTCTATCAAAGATCGGGGGTTTTAGTATATCCTGCTGTTTTAGCATGCTGATAGCCAAGTCTCTTTTGGCGGTGATTGGGTAATGGATGGGTCCATGCCGCTTGACAACGTGGGATGACAAGCTTAAACTGACTGTGCGCGTTGCCTTGTGCAGTAGTTTCCAAGCCAAAATTCGGATTTAGAAAACGCACTTGGCTTCAACCGCCCCCGCCAGTTTTGGTTGACGTTGTACATGTGGGGTCAAGCCAGGCGGGCCGGAAGTGAATTGCGGCCAGATGATCTGCAACGAAACGAGTCAGCAGAATAGGATGGCCCCGAAACCTTTCAGCATTGCGTGTGCCTGTCCGAAGATTTTCGGAGCCGCTTCCACCGTTGAGAAATGGGGTAGTTAATTGTATTTGTCAAAGCGCCATTGCCCTATGGTATCCACTACGGTAACATGCTGCTGCATGCAGCAACATCCCAACATTGAGATGAGAGATTAGGTCCATAGAAGATGGATGCCAGTAACTCCGCTACCAAACGTGCGCTAGGAGTGAGCGGACGAGTCCCCCGAAATTATTGTTCTTCAACCTCAACAGCCATACCAGAAGCAGCTGCGATTTTCCGCTAACGAAGCAAGCGATCAGCTTGTCGTCCCAGGGCGAACGGACAAAATGTCCGATTTCAGAAAAAAAAGGGGAAAAAAAAAAAAAAAAAAAAGAGAGAGAGAGAGAGCGAGTACCTAGGTCTAGAAAGGACGCTTTAGTAGCACCTGCGAAATGACGCCAAAGTCTGGACGGTGCCAAACGGTGCTAACTTGTAGGACAGTAGGCAAGCGTAGAAAACGGACGGGTGCATCGCGACTGTATATTGTCGATTTTTGGATGGCTTCAACAAAAACGATCAAAGTCCAAAAGGGGCATGTTGCTGAGGACTTTCGGAAGGTACACAATGTTTGTGAAAGGTTACGGTATCTTCCTCCCACGATGGCTGGGTACTTACTCGACTCGTCGGCCGCCCAACAGGAGGGCTGCAGCTGCCTGCGCTGAACCAGACTGTCGGTAACAGCCATTCCCTACATATAAAGCTGCGTTGAAGGGAAGAACTGGACGCTGATACATTCATCGCTGCACCTGCACGGTAAGCTCTGGCACAGTCCCTCAGTCACTCGACCAGTCTCCTTACCGGCCAGCTCTTGCTTTCCCCATCTATCTCTACTCCTTCTGTCATTCTTTTTTATACAAGTGCCTTGATCTATTCTATCTAATTCTCTTTCTATGGAGTCTTCACAGCCCAGACCATCGCAAGCCTATATCCAGTCGCACCGTCCAGTGCTAGCACCGCAGGCGGCTCAGCGTATTGCTAGGAGGGCCACCCGGTGCAGGCCTAAACGGGCTGCTCGTAAGGCGCTTCAGGATGTCCAATTTAGTTCACTGGGGAGCTATCGGCTGCCGGTCGATAACATTCGGCAAAGTCGAATGATGCCAGTTCGTGATCGTATGTATGATCGGCAGCCTCAGCTTGTCGCTACTCCCGAGGACGAGCAAGATGACGAGATGGTTTACCATGATGAAGAGTTTGTCCTATTTCTGTCTTCCCCCCATCCCTTCCCCCTTCCCTCTTTCCCTCTCTCTTTGACCTTTTTTACTTTCTCTCTCTCTTTTTCCATTCGTTCCGCCTTTATTCTCTTGAATGTCACTGTACTTGTTCTCATCCCATCTATACTTGCCTTCTTCCACACTGTTTGACGTAATCCTTCGTTTTGCTCGCCTTGCCACGTCAATCACACGGACCACGCAAACGAAGTTAGACTGACAAGAAGTACAGACCTAGCTACGATGAAGAATTTGGAGACCCGCAAGAGCCGCAAGACGACGGCCGCTATGTTCTGGAAGCCCTAATAAACCAGCAGTGAGTCAGCCTTACACCACTGCACCACTTTGAAGCTGACACCTTAGCTTTACCTCAGATCGAAAGCAACCTTGACACTGTGAGTCGGCGTATCTGTCGAGCCTTTGTTTTTCTTTTCTTTTCTTTCTTCTTCATTTTCTATCGTTCTTCCTTGGCTAATCCTTTTTCCAAAGCATTAATAAAATGCGAACAGAGTTTCTTGAAAGCATGAAGCAGATGAGAACAGAGCTTTTGGACGCCTTGAAGCAGATTAGAACAGAGTACGTCTTAGTCCTAACTTGATCACTAGGGATTTCTTCTCTCTCGTTTCTGTTCCCTTCACCCTTTGTAGCATTTCTTCTTCCTACTTTTCCTCTAATATAGCTAACAGGATCTACAGCAACAATCAATTACCGCAACGGATAAGTGAGACCATAGTACGCGCGATTAGTGGCCAGACCAACCTTCATGCACAGGGAGCCACAGGCCGAGGTGCTCCTTTGCAGATGGGATTGGACTCTACCGTGGACCCTTCCAATCTGATGAGCAATACCAGAGGAACCGAAAATATCGGCTCGTAAAGGCTAAGTTCCGAAGGCGATCCTCAGGTCTAGCTGGACGCACTGGGAATGGATATCTACACATATTTATGTATACATATGTGTCTGTACATACATGGAGAGATGAAGTGGTACCACGTTACGACGGGGGGATAAGTTTAATGACATGGCTCAACATACAAATATTATACCGAGTCAGGTTTGAGTTCGCAAAGACAATTGGATGGTGATGCAATAATAACATGGTGAATCTCCAAATTGCAAAGCAAAGTTACAACCGCCTTTCGCTGTGCCGGACAGAGAAGGGATACAGACCTCGACCCATTCATGACGACCTCCTAGGGCAGACCCAAACTAAAACAATATCGATGCTAGGCGAATGGAGAATTTTACCAGCTGGGGACAAAAACAAGAGTTTTCTTATCAAAGGGTGAGTTATATTGAATAGCTCGCGCGGGTAGAGACGGATACGTAGGCTGTATTCAATGATCACGCCGACAAGAAGCGCCGATATATACGTTTACTGGTATATGTTGCAGGCGGTTACCGGGAAAACAATAAAAGGCAATCTCTCTCCACTCAATTCAAATGAAGCTAACAGTAGGATGCTAAATAAGCCAGGGCTTCTGATTCGGCGCATCGCTGCATCACTTCCAAATCGTCTTGAATGATCCCTCGTCTGCCATCATCATCTGTTACACCGGCCGCAAACGATGTACTGTCGCCGTCTTGATTCGACTCAAGTCTCAGGTTTGGTGGTGTGTTCAGAGGTGAGCTGCATGTCTGTTGCCGAAACTGATGCTCCATGAACTGTGGCGGCGATTCCGTCGCCGACACCGTCTCAGTTGACTGCCCTTGAAGTACTCTCTCTAGCAAGGTCACATGCTCCTCTCCTAAGCGGATGAGCCACTGTTGCCATTTCGACGTAGCCTCTTTCTGATCGACTGAGGCCTGGAGAAACTCGTACTGTGGGCGCAATCTTTCATTTTCCAGCGTAAGAAGATGGCTCCTCTCTTGTAAGAAATGGAGTAGCTGCTCAACGGTCATTGCGTGCGGCGGTGGCGCAACGCGCGGTGGCGAAGGAACGCTAGGGAGCGAGCTGCTTCCCATTGGATCGCTGGCTGGCGGACGAGAAAGATAGAAGCGGAAAAAAACTAATAAAGTCAGTTCGGTTCAAGGCACTGACGTTGAAAGTCAAGAGACGGTATAAATATTCATCCCCGCCCGCAATGAATGTGATATGTAGTCGACTTCTACCCAGGAGTCCATTTACGTTCTCGGCTTCTCTGTCGCATGTGAACGGCTGCTTTCTTCTGTTGTGTACGAACTTGAATTGTTTGACTCTCCGAAATGCTAGCTGCTCTTGAGGGTAGTGGCAAGATTGACTTGACTCGGAGATGTACTGTAAGCGATAGCCCTTTCTCACTCATTCTACGAAACTTGAGGGCGTGGCAATAGCAGCACAATAGCAGCGGATATATTTTTTAGTGTGAATTCGAAACTGGACGGCCTTTTGAGGCTCCCTCTCCATTGTAGCTCCAAACCTGCCCTTACCTTTACGAGAACGTTGACGTTGATTGTGATGATGGACTGTAGGGTACTTTCCACTATCCTGCACTAAACGAAGTTCTACTGATGAGTATCTATACGCTTCACATCGCTACCACGTTGTATTCCCCTTACTACTGTTCCATTCGGAGGTTATATTCCATAGGAATGCTCTCTGATTACTGATGAGGCAGCACCATAAAGAACGTGATTCTGGAAGAAAAAAGAAATAGCAAAACGAACAAAGAAAGGGAGAGGTGATGGATTTCGAAACGAGGCCTTATCTACGCGATTAACAGTACAGTACAGTATTGACATAGAGTGCTATCTTGATATGACGCATACAAGTCTGGTCCTTATCCATCGCCATTAGGATGCTGAGTGGTTCGAAGGTTTATCTGCTGCTGGAGTAAGCCCCTGAGTCTATTCTCCTCCGCGCTATACTCGTGCAAAAGATTCCGGACCTCGTGAACGTGGTGTTTTATTGTAGGTACAAATCGGACGACTGCCTCGTTGGCCAGTCTCCTGTAGTACATGCGCTCATAATGAAGCATGGCGAGGCGTTGCCTTAATTTAGCCTTCGACGACGCAGTATCACAACCTGGGGAAGGCCGAGGTTGCGGATAAGCTATTCGAAGAGGTTCTACATAAGGCCAGCTTTGACCTTGATCCTCCTTGCTCTTTCCCATGTTCAAACTTCCTCGATTCATGGATGGGCTGTTCAGTGAATTGGAATCTCTACCACCTGCCTGCGTAGCGGAACGAGGTATATGGTCACTTATTCTATAGTCTGGCTCCATCGAGTCTGGCTCGTAGCTCAAACTTAGATCCGAATCACGTAGTCTTGACTTTGATCCATTGTCAATGTTTCCGGCGTGATATTTGGCATCTAAGCTGCAGGCTAAATCGATACCTAAGTCCTGGATTTCTAGATCTGTTTTCTCCTTGATAACATCCTCAACGTACTGTCGCCAGTCGGTATTCAATTGCTCAATCAAGAGGTTTGCCTCTGTGACAACCGATCGGAGCGCAGAGCCAATTGTCGTATCTGAGAAACCAAACGCAGCAGCACCCGATAAACGAGCTTTCTATTCAATGCGATTGATTGTCTCATCATCCCATTTTGTCTTATGAGATTAATCTCCAACTTCTCGAGCATAGACTTCGACATTGGGTGTGGAGTCGGCGGTAAGGGACGGTTTCTTGCACCCTTACACCAGGAAGACACCAAATTTACCTGGCGGTCTTGTGCATTAGCGAAACCGTCAATTTGAGCCTTACACTGATTGAGGCTCAAGAGAGGGTCAGTATGCGGGCGTTGGCGCCTGAACACTTGCGAGGTGCTACTCCCCACTTCGCTGCCGTGCAAGGTAGCTGTGTTATCATAGAGCAGAGCGTCAGGGATTTTGGATAGACAAGACTGGATCGAAGATTTAAGAGATACTAGTACATCGTTAGCCAGTGTAGCAAAGTACTTATCCTCATGATGCAGGCTCCCGTTCTCTCGGTTGAGTTCTACGATCCTTCTTCGAAGCGACACCTGATCGTCACCTCGATTCACATAAGTGATGGAACTGTGGGAAACGCTGGTTCTACCCCCAAGCTGCTGCACTTGATGATCTACTCTACGAGAAATTTGCGCGACTTCATTGTTGTAGTTGGGACAAGACCCGTATCTGACATGTTCCTTCATTGATAGTCGAAGCAGGACGTGGGGGAAGATACTTGAGGTCAGGAGCAAGTATCAACGCTCTTTCGCGCCTAAACACAAAAACAAACGCCATTATGAGAGAAGTCATCTATTTTATATTATTTGAAACCACAGCTTATTGGCTCTTGGTGTACAATTCAGCATGAAACAACGTTGCAAAATCGCCTATTGGATTATTTGCCAATTTCGAGTGATGTGGATGGGTTATGCGTGTTTGTACGGTACCATCGTAAATATCTGACTTCCCATCCAAGAATGGCTGCTCTTCTTAGTTGACTTCGGGACTCACAAGGTCATCCTTATATTTCACGCATGGTGCATGTTGTAAGTGATACAGCATTAGCTGTTCGCAGCACCGATGATATGTTGATCCTTCCTGTTCGATAAGGTTCTGCACGCTAGTCTTCCTATCTTAAAAGCATAGTGGACATGTTGGTGGGCGGCTCACAATTTTCAACAATTCTGTCATGAACTATTTCGTTTCTAGCCAGCAAGTTTATGATGCATAGAGTTCAAAATTTAAATATCAGATATGATAAGCTTTGGTAATGAATTTTATGTTGTATTGGTAACTTTGATGCTGTAATCTGGTACATATCGTAAACCTTCCTCTTTGGAATTGATATTTAAAGCGCGAGCACGAGTCACGCATGGTGTACCTTCCTGGACCCTCTGAACCTCTAGTCTAATTGCCACATATGGCTCTACCCAACCCCACTGTTCGTGACTGGAAAGGTGACAAGCACAAGGTAATGTGTGTACTGTACTTGATATGGCGCAATAACGAACACTATAGGCTAAGTGACAGTAGTGTCAAAATGCAAAAATTTCTAATGGAACTGCAGTTACGTCCAGTGGTGGATTTGATGCGCCATGTAATCGGCTGGCCATCGTTTCATACTACATAGCTCCCACGGAAACATCTATTTGTCATCTTTACTCTGGCCAAAAAGGATCTCAAGTACTCGTGATGACTTATACGGGCTCAAGTAAACAAAAAACAGTTGAAAAACTACACGTCCTCTGTCCCCCCTTGACCTCCACACAGCAAGACGGTTCAAAATAACGCTTTATATAAAACGCAGACAGGGCAGAGGATCCTCTGGACCTTTACAATCCGCTCCTGCAATGTAGATGCAGATGACTGATACTAGACTTGAAGTGAATCTGGCATGAAAAGCACCATTTCGTATTATGCTTGATCCAGTGCGATTCCACGATATCTGACCGGGGGTAATGGCCAAGTTTTGCTTGAGCCGCAAATCGACGCTGAAGTAGTACGACGATACAGCTTTGTGAGCAAATGACATAACAATACATATGATGTAGCTGTGGTATATATATCTATAGAATCCCCCCTTCCCTCCAGTGTTTCCTTTTCGCTAAGAGACGCGACTTATTTGCTAGTGGCAGTATAATATTATTACACCACCCAACAATGTATCGCCGCATTCATGACCACGAAGCCTTCGTCGATTCGATGAGCGAAGCGGGTTCAGCCTTAGGTATGGGTGTTAATCTTAAAATTGCACATTGATAGATCTTAATACCCTGTAGAACATAGCGAACGTGGCCTAGACGATAGCGGTGATTCTGATGCCTTCATTGTCCCTGATTCTGATGGGGATAGTGGAATCTCGATTCCGCAAACCCCTCCAGTTCCTCAATCAACGTTGAGCCAAAGATACGGACGTATAACAAGGCGCGGCGAACGCAGGGCACCCCAGAATGTTGAGGGAGCCAGTTTCGCCAGCTCAAGCGAGTCTCCGACCCCAAACACACGCCATCGAGACGTCCACAGGAGCTCACGAGGCCAGGTCCACTTTTACTTTCTAATTAGAAGACTTGAGGACTTAGCAATGGCAATAGAGGATATGAGAGCTGATATGCAAGACATACAGTACGAAATCTATGACATAGCTGAGGAAATTGCTTGAGATGGGGGCATTATGTAAAGTTACTCGTATCATTATAGTCTACTTCACTAGACTCGAACGGCTATAGCTGTAAGAGAAGCTAGTTAAGAGCACCTATATAGTACATCTACACAATGAATTAGGATATCGCGACGCAAACGCCTTCTTATTATAAGCTCTTGACAAGGCCGCTACTCTTTCTACCATGAAATGGATGAATAATAGATTCCCCTCCTGTATTGTTAGATTATCTCTACGTAATGTCGCATGAATCACCCCATTCGCATTTGAAATGATCATTATTTACGGCTGGCTGTCGACTGATAATTCTGCTTCAAACAGGTATAAAGATACACAACAGTTTTCAATCTTATGTAACTATAACCTAGACTTTAAGTTCAAAGTGCTGTTAACTGCACTTAGTTACTCTCGCATCCCCTTGTCTTTGTTTTACTTCTCCAAAATCCCGGCCCAATTCTCCTCGTGCCCATGTTTCATGGTCTCGGCACCCTTGGTGAACTTACCCCAAGTCTCCGCGCTGGCGGGTCAGTTTCTATTACCTGTGTTCTTGGGCTTACTTGCTACCAACCTACAGACAAGGGCGTCCCAAAAGACCGGTTCCAGCTGGTAGTACGAATACCACTTCAGAGTGTAGGTACAAGAAAAGAACTGTAGTCCTCCTATTTAATAATCTAGGGCAAGACACAGACTGGTTCTTACGTTGCCCATCTCTACTTCGTATTGCTCTAGTACAGAATTAGAATGCTAACAAATTAGCCGAGAGCGCCACTCCATTGTATCACGCTCTTAAGCGTATCTGGAGGTGTATAATAGAGGTGGCATGACGGAAGCCCCTGGTCGAATGCGTCTATCGAACATGTCTTATGCGTAGTGACCTGACCGCCGGTTTGTTATGGCTGGGACCTGGTAGAAGCCTTTTCACTTATGTGAGCAACTTCTACCCCTATTGCTGAATTTCATTACAAATAATTTTTTCACTTGCAAAATAAAGAAGCCCAAGGACTTCCACACCTGGGGTTGATCTCCGTCTTGCTTAGCAGTGTGTTAGCTTGGCTGGTCATCTGTCGAGACAGATAACAAATGGGCAGGATCTAGATATAGCATGGGTACTGGCTTTGCCAAAAAGGTTCCCGAAGCCCCCATAGCTTCCATCACGTATGGTCGCGGCATAAAAGGGTGAAATGCGAGGCAGGACGGTCGGGGCCGAAGCATATCGGAAGAGAAGACCGCCAGAGCATTGGCGAGGAAGTCCAGGTCCAAGTTTTTGCCAACATTCTGCAGGCGCTGGAAGTAGAGTTCGCCGAGAAGGAACGATTGTCTCATAGGTAGGAATGATGCGAGTCAGTGCCGTATGAGAGGAAGGTCAAGACCGTTCAGAACTTCTACAAGGCGCTCCATGACATGAAGACATTGCCAACTCTCACTTGCCTGCTCTGTTATCGGAGGTACGGCGGGGTCGAGCTAGAGGATGTCGGGTGGGATTGGTGGACAGCAATTCCTATCAAGAAACCAGGCGACTCACCCTTCAAATGTCCTCGGTGCTTGTCGGCGGGGCAGAATATTCGCGGTTGTGCGGACTGCTTGAGGCACCTCAGGCGAGCTGTGTTGTCTCCAGCAGCGCAGCTCCATACGTGGCTGGGTTGCGAGCATATGTTTCCCGACAGTTGAAGGGCTTACCCCCGTTGAAGAGAAGCTGATTGCGCTGAACTCGTGTTACGGCTTCATCACCAGATATAGCATCTCAGACGGACACAGACAGGGCGTCACGTACCCAAGGCATGTGAAAGGGCACATTACAGGGTTCCCGAACAACGTTCAGGAGCTCGTAAAGAATGTTCTCCCCCATCCGCTGTTAAAGGTGCTGGATGATATCCATGTGTCGTGGCAGGGCCAGGGAAAAACCGGCGCCAAGCGATCTGCTGGCGTTATTATCAGTGCGGCGGAGAGTCGTCAAGAAAGCGCTGCTGTGGCTGAAGAGGCATAACCATTTATATGACGACATCATTATTGACATAGCTGAAATGAATAGCTGGGATACACCAGCACACGGCGTGCCGTCCCAAGTCTTTGAGCGATTGGAGCGGAACGAGCCATCGGCGAGGGAGAAGACGCAGACGGCACATATCGTCCCGCCAACAGAGCGTGGCATTGACGACCACGATCCGATCGACATTCAGGAGATAGTTAGGGCGCTGTTAAAGGAACAAAACGCACCTGGTGTGGCCACCGGTTACGATTGCGTCAATAGGGACGATGGGCGCGGGGCTGATGACAAGGGCGAGCGCCTTTACGAGACCGGATCATCGGGTATATTCGACTTGGATGGCTGGCCCGACATAACTGACGCTGGAAAACTGCGACATCTTCTCGAGTCCATGGGCGTGGCCGCGGTCGAGGACCAGGGGCGCATAAATGCGTGAAGAGCGTTGACCAAGGTGTGGCATGACCGAGTTGCCGAGCCCTGCATTGCTGTTTCTCGCGGCGAGGATTTTGCTGATCATTTCGATACGTGGTACCTGCCAAGAGCGTTCCCCAGTTTGCTCCCCAGAGGTATGGGCGGACCCCGACAGGTCGAAGAATGGGCCGTTGCTGAGAGAGAGGCTGCTCTCCAAATTTGCGAGGCAGAGTTCGCTGTGCGACGGCTGGTTTCATCGCGGAACATGACCCTAGAAGCTGTTGAACAGGCACTGGGTGTTACGTGCAACCAGGGATACTTTAAGATCACAGACGAAATGGTAAAACCTCTAAGGCGCAGAACCTGAACATAAGACAAAATGAATATACCAATCTGGATCAATGGACCAAGTACACGTAATGTCTGACAGAAGCACGGGCAAAGCTAGTGCAGCGACACGGTGGGGGATTTGCGTCGCATCTCGTCTTCCTGTTTCTCGTCTTCAATATAAGGGTGCGGTCGAGGAACCGCCGAGTGAGTATGGCAAGCATCCGAAAAAGCGATTTTCCACAAGTAGAGCACACAATCAAGGAATTGACAGCCGCAAGGCTCGAAAAGGCGAGTATCGAGCTGGAGTCCTCCGGTAAGACTGCAGATCCGGCTGTAAACCAGCTGCTGAGGAGCCTGTCGTTATATGGCTATCGTCAACCAATGTCAAGGGAAAGTCGATTGACCATGCGGCGGAAGATCAAGTCCCCTGATAGTTCGTTACAGCATTCCTGCGATCTGGTTCATGCTCAACCAGAATGATATCACTAACCCGATCAAGCTGAAGCTGACAGCGTGCCGTACCCGCGAAACCGAGGAAGCCGAAAAGTTTCTAGGTCTTGATCAAGCGTACAAGAGGGCCCGACTCGCCATATCAGATTCTGTTAGTTTGGCCATCTTCTTCCACCGGGAAGTGTCCATGTGTTTTGAACTCCTACGTGAACGTTGGGGAGGAGTCGGTGTTTGTCCTCGTCAGCCAGTACAACGTGGTGGCAGAGACGAACGAGAGGGGTGCTCTCCACCTTCACGGCCTCCTCTGGCTCCAGGGAAACATGCATCTAGGTACCCTTTCGAGGGACATTCAGGGAGAGGAGCACGTCGCATACCGGAAACGAGTGATCGATTACGTGGACAGCATATTCTCGGAGGTTCGTCGTTCACCAAGTCGAGGCATAGAACCGAGAACAACTGACACGTCCAGTAGGATCTTGACGAAGGAGCATCGGCTGTCATGCGAGCGAAGACGTCGGTAACGGCAGGGATTTCTAGGCTGATAGGCAATACGCGTCAATTCGCCGCATCTTTCGAGGAGGCAAACTTCTGTGCCGGCGCCGTACAAGTCCACACGCATAGTCCAACGTACGTCAAGTATGTCATTGGCAGACAACAGAACGAAATGCTTACCGGTTTGGCGCACCTTGGCAAGTGGTAGAGATGACATGTTTCACGAAGGACGGACTTCTGCGCATCCGACGCGGTCACGGGCTAGTGAATCGAGGAAACAAAGCGATGGCTATGGGGTTGCGACACAACTACGACATCTCTTTCATCGTGACGAAATGCAAGGGCTTGTCGCTGATATATTACGTGACAAATCTTGCGACCAAGGTTGAGGACCCGGTGTGGAAGAGGATCGTGGCAGTCAAAGAGCTGATCTGGCTCCTGAGTGACGGCAAGGCCAGAAGTCAGCCGAATGACACACGAAATTCGACTGGAAACGCGGAGAGACAAAATGAAACTTGGCAGCTCCTGTTGTGCGTCGCCAATCGAATTTGCACGGGACGAGCTTTGTCGCAGGTCGAGGTGGTGGCCTATTGCCAGGGTTGTGGCAAGGAATTCACGAACAGCAGTGCCTGGATGTTCCTGAACGTGTGCACCATGTATTGGCATGTCTTCCGGTGATGGCACCTCTTGAGACTCGCTGCTGGTAGGGTTGACGGATACGAGCAGGCTGGAGAGACGGTCATGCTGGGCAAGGCGGGACAGAGGATCTCATTGTTACAAGCGTATCTGCAACTCGGCAGGCTTTGGAGGGTCTCGCTCTATACGACTACATATCGGTCGTCAAGCTGAAGTGGAAGGGGCAGGGTATCGCCTCTGGTGAAGTGGAAGTAGACAGGTCCTGGCCATCATCCAAATCATGGATCAGACGCTGCAGCGACCGAAGCAACAGGCTATTGTGTGGCCGCGACGCAGAGCCCTACTGACTCACGCAACCTGCTTCAGATCAGCAGTACAACACATTCCGCTCTTTGTCCATGGGACATGTTCCTGTGCGAGGCATCTGATGACATCAACAACATCTGGAAAAGACACAAGGCGTGTCCTCCCAGGCGCATTGCATAGCTAGCAGATAACATACAACTGCTGCGGCGATCCGCCGAGGATGGGGCGTTGGATGCCCGGTAGTGGGGGGTCCTGTCAGGCAAAAGCGATCCGATTGCTGATGTGACCGGATCGCACAGCACCGACAGGAATGGGTCGCACAACGCAGCAGTGTATCGGCCGGATGGCATCGGTACAACGACCCGCCTGATCGATGTATTGAGGAATGCGATAACACGAACGGTGAAAACGGCCGCGTCGAAAGAGATCTCCGCAATGGTCCAGCAAATGTACCAGTTCCAGGAGACCGCATTGGCGTCCGAGGAGGGCCTGAATGCCGCGATCATCCTGAACGATGGCCTTAGCCCTCCTCAAAGGACCGTCTCGAGTACGGGAACGCCAAGGCAAGAGCAACTAAGGGCTATCAAGTCGCAGCAAATCAGCCTCTCCCGCGAGCGGGAAAAGGCTTTTCAGGGGATGCAGAGTTGGCCAGGCGCTACGATACCCATCGACAGAGCCACAGCACGCGGAGGGTCCGAAGACTTAGAGCAACAGAACGGCCAGGCCGCGACTGCTGACTGGATGGAGGACACGAATCCATCAACAAGCATCATGTTCGGCCTGTTCACATCGTTTTGTGAGGTCAGGAGACAAGTGACCAAATCCCTGACGCTGAACAGAAGACAGAGCATAGCCTTCTGGCTGATCTGCCGCCAACTTGACCAGGTGCGCCGAGATGAGCATTGCACCGCACAGCTATGCTTATTCATCGGAGGCAATGAAGGTACCGGCAAATCGCGGGTCATCGCGGCCATCGCCGAGCTGTTCGTCGTAGGTCACAGTCGCATCGCTTGCTCGTGACTGCAACGGCGGCAAACATTAATAGAATCACCATCCTTTCAGCTTGCAATTTCTCCAGAGACACGAGTACGAGAACAGGCCGCGCCATCTAGCTCGGCAGGCCTTCGTATCGACGGGCAGGCCAAGATGGACTGGCAAGAGAAATATGCACTGATCATAGATGAGGTCGGCATGTTGGGTGCGAGGATGCTATACGCCGTCAATGTGCAGCTGCGGAGGCTTCGAGAGTCGACTGAAGATTTCGGCGATATCCCAGTAATTATATTTTGCGGGGACTTCCACCAGTTTCGTCCAGTACAAGACAAGAGTGGTCAATACTGCTCCCAAGCTCAAGCTTCCCACGCGGGCAAGGCCACGGCTTCGGTCTCGAGCAGCAAAGACAACACGACGTCGCCTACGTCCTGTGGAGGAAGTTCACCGTGGTGGTGCCCAAGGAAAAAGTTCGTGCCGCGCAAGATCCACGACTACGCAGGCTCATAACGCGTGTCGAGTTTCTGAACAGCAACGGCTATCACGAGGAGAGACCCATTCCATGGGAGTCGGGTGATGCCACTCAACAGGAACTGATGGAAACTGAATGTAGAGGCAACACTCGCGTTCCAGAGGCAGCGACATGCCCCTCTCCACATCTTCGTTTCCGAGCATAAGTGGAAAGACAGTAAGCCGACGGAGGAAGAAGCGGTCATGATGTTGGGCCAAGGCGATGATAGTGCTATATCGGTGCCTGCCGTGTTCATGTTTGTCCCCGGCATGCCGGTGGTCGTGAACAGGATATGCATCAAGGACTAAGACGTGTCAACGGCGCTAGAAATGAGGCAGTGAGGGTTGTTCTCGACACGACCTTCCGGGCCTTGGGATTAATGCTGATACAGTCCTCCACTTCGGGCCGCCCGCGGGGCTCCTGGTAACGTCGGAGACGACGAGCGACCTCCACTTTGTCGGAATGCCTGCAGATATCATACTCTCGACGCCTGTAAGTGTCAAAATCGAGTGCGTAAGAAAGCAACCATGACAGCAACATGACGTTTCCCGCAAGGGCTTGCCGTGCGCCCCGGCGTTCGCATGTACGGACTACAAGGTACAGGCGAGAAGTTAGACAGGGTCGCTCTAGAGCTCCGGGGGGACAAGAACCACGAACATCGACGGCCTGCTGGTTCCAAGCCAGTGTGACACATACAGTCTGTACGTTCAGCTGTCGAGGTGCAGATCACTTGACGGTATCATGCTACTGTCCGAGGCGCGAGACAGGGACTTCGTGGGAAACGTGGTGCCAGTGGAGATGGCACAAGCTGAGCTGAGATTGGAGGAGATGAGCGAACAGACAGTGAGGCAAGCAGAGTCGATGATTTGGTCGGAAGCCAACACCGGGGACTGGTGCAGGGCAGACGTTGCAGAGGAACGTTGAGGAATTTTGAGACGGCGCGAACTACGCGAGTGGGGTTCGACAGGACGATGACACGTTCAAATTCACGTGGATTTTTGAGTGGGGATCTGGCCTGTTAGATTGGCGGCTGGGAATTGTTAGATACGCGTGTAGGGTTAATATCCAATTAAAATAGGGTTAATTTTCACACTTGAGGATCAATCTTATTGGATACGCGAGTAGGGTTAATATTGTTATGTTATGTTATGTTATGTTATGTATATTTTTCGTCCGGGGGGCCGTAGGCCCCGAAAGTCCCCTGCTGGGGCAAAGGACGTGCTGAGCTAGAGAATTGGGTATCTATCTATACGCTAATTACAGAAATACCATTGGCTGCAAGGATGATTAGTCATTCGCGACGCGAAATTAGTCTTCCCTCAGATTCCAATTTTTGCAACCGCATTAGTAGACCAAACACACTCTATCCAGCATATCATCGGCACAAATGGCGCATCCTATCGAGCTTGTTACCCGTCAGCGGGACGACAAGGCGCAGCTGGCATATCGCAGCCGCTTTTGGAGCCTGAAGTCAGGAAGGCTGAGCTCAGCCTGTGCGTGCGGCAGTTTGAGACTGCCTGAAGGTAGCCACGGCCGGATGAGGGGCGTGTCAGCGCCTTTCATCTGGCCGAGAACTGGTAAGAAGATAAAGAAGAAGTAAAGGTGTACAAACGAGAAGTCGAAGAGAGAGTCGCGAGTGCTTCTCTCGTCGTCATCGCCTAATAGCGAGGGCAAATCTTTCCAAAGAACGCGCTGTCTTTGGATAGGTCGGTGAACTTGGTAAAGTCTTTTCCTACTGCTAGATTGACTGCTGCATTCGGTGAGGGTGCCAGCCTCATCCGATGACGCGGCGGTACCTTTCTGCAGTAGAAGATGTGATCCGGTGCTTTGCGTCGGCCACATGAGCAGACCAGGCGCGCATCGTCGTGGTCGAACCTCTCGTGATACGCGGCGAAGTCCCCGTGGAGGGACCTCGCTGCCAGCAAGTGGTGTAAGGCTGCGCGCGGGAGCGTCAGCTCTGGTGGGCAGCCTGTGGTCGCCTTGAGGTTGAGTCTCTTGTATTGCTCAGGAGCGGAGGTAGACCACCACGTCTCGAATGCTTCTTTTGATTTTTGTCTCGCGATTCTTCGTAGGTAAGCCAGCGTTGGTTGAGCACCTTCAGGTTCGAGGAGTGATGACGCTGCTTTTGCCAGTTTGTCGGCCTGTTCATTGCCAGGGATGTCGGAGTGTCCTGGGACCCAGAGTACTTGCGTGGCTCCGTGCGATGCCGCTAGAGCCTGAAACTCGAGAAAGACGTCTTGAGAGGAGTCGGAGGGCGTGCCTCGCAGGCACGTGGCGGCCGCGAGGTTATCTAGACAGATAAAAATGGTTTGCGCTCCTGACCCTTGCAGGTTCAGGGCAGCTTTGAGGCCCTCTAATGCCCCAGTAGCTTCAGCGTCGAAGACCTCGGCAGGCCCAAGGCGACCTGATCCATCGAAGATGGGGACATTGTTTTGATGAATGGTGAAGCCGTAGCTTGCAGCTCCTTCCAAGGATAGAGAGCCATCCGAGTATACGACCAAGGTGAGCGGGTCGAGTCTCTCAATCCAGTGGAGGAAGGCGCCAGTCGATTTCTCTTTTGGCGCCATCTGGAGTGGAGGCATCTGTTCTTGATGGAAGCATCGCTGGACGAGTTTTGGCCGCGCGCAGGGCGCAAGCAGCTCGTCTGTGCGTCGAAGACGTGTCCTGAAGGCGCTTTCTGTCTGTGTTTGATATCTTCGTTTGATGAGGTTATGGTATGTGGGTTGTGTTGGTGGCGCTGTTCGCTTGGCAAGAGGATGAGCCTCGTCAAGCGATTTGAGTCGTGCGGAGGATCTGAGTCGCCGTGCCTCTAAAAGCTGATCAACTGGCGGTATCCCGCTTTCCCGATGGAGGATGGTGATAGGTGTCGTTTTCCAGACGGGCAGTATAGCTCTCATGGATTGGTGTAAGGCCTTATTCATTCTCTGTATGAGATGCTGGTTGCTAGATGGTGTGTCTCTGGTAGGCTGACTCCATCGCGGCCGGGTGGTGCCCGGGTACCACGCCTCGGATCCGTGAAGTAGAACCGGCTCGACGCAAGCCCTGACGGCACTTCGCACAGCACTCGGGAGAGGGCCGTGTATCGTGTTGGTCAGTCCTCGCAGGTGATAAGCTACTGCCTTCGCTTTCGACGCCCACTTTTCGACGTGGACTCGGAACGATAGTCTGCTGTCAAGCCAGATGCCGAGCCAGCGTAAGGCTGGCTCAGGGTATTTCTCAACGTCTCCGTGGCGTACTGCCGGCGACGTTCTAAGCTTACTACGAGAGAAGTGCATGACTTCGGTCTTTTCGGGGTCGAACGAGACGCCATTTGCTGCGCCCCAGCGCACCATCTCGTCGATGGAGCTGGAGGCCATGGCAGTAGTCTCGTCTACTGTGTCGCCTGTAGTCAGGATGGCCGTGTCATCTGCGTAGCCGAAGCGACCCTGGGGGTTGCTTAGTCGGTAGATTGGCTCAGTGTAGAGCAGAAAGAGGATTGGCGATACCGGCGATCCCTGAGGGAGGCCGCACTGAAGGGGAGAGGAGGACGTGACGGTGTCTTGCAACCTGATACAGGCTGATCGGTCTCTCATGAAGGACTCGGTCCATCTAGCTAGATGGTCAGGCCAGCCTTGTTCGCGAAGACGCAAGACCAATCTGTTGCGCATGACGGTGTCAAAGGCACCTTGTATGTCCATCGTGACTAGAGTGGTCACCTTTTTACGTGCAAACGCTTCTTCAATATCATGCACCAGAGCAGTTACCAAGTCTGTGGCCGACCTCTTGGGGAGCGCCCCAGCTTGCTGTGGATGAAGGACGCTGTAGTGAACGGCAGCCCACGCTAGGCGGCGCGCGATCAATCGCTCTAAACCCTTGCCGAGGCAGGAGAGCAGAGAGATGGGCCGCCAGGCTCGAGGCGATGTGAGATCACGTCGTCCGGGCTTGGCGATCATCACCACTTCTGCCTCCTTAAATGGTTTAGGATGATGACCTATACGGAGGCATCTTTCAAACAGGCGGCGGATG